TACTCTGTCGACACACACAGCAGCAACTATCACGAACACCCTCCCTTGGGGCTGTTGTCTTTGACCAGATCACATATATATCAGAAAAACAACAAACAAAAAGAAAACACGACTCAGACCTCTACTTCTCAGATCTTGAGCCTAGAGCAAAACTACGATGAACTTCAAAAAGATCTTTCGGCAGAGCCTTCGTCAGGATGTCCGCATGCTGTCCTTCGCTAGAGACATGACTGATTTCCAACACTCCCTCCTCTGTCAAATTCCTAAGAAAATGGTGCCTCACGTCAATGTGCTTACTGTTACACGAACTAAGTGGATTCTCAGCAAGTGCAATCGCACCCTCGTTATCCTCGCGTACCTGAATCTTACCAAGCTTCTCACTAGGCCTCAAGAACTCGAGCATTCCATTGACAAACAGAGCCTCTTTTACACCGTCACCCATCGCAACATACTCTGCTTCAGTTGATGAAAGTGTGACACATTTCTGCGTCCTAGAAATCCAAGCAACAAGACAGTCAGCTACAAGAACTAGTGCTCCCGAAACTGATCTACGGTCAATGGCCTTACTGGCGAAATCTGCGTCTACGTACACCAACGTGCCTACGTCTACCATAGTGTCCTGCTTGTACTTCAAAGTTAGATGTGCCGTCTCCAGAAGATAATTCAGAATCTTCTGGGCCGCCTTCCAGTGGCTCTTGTTTGGCTCGTGAGAGTGCCTCGCCACCGCCCGGACAGCATTTGAGATGTCGGGCCTTGTCTGGTTGGCGATCCACATCAGGCTCCCCACCACCTCTCGTAACGGCACATCTCCTGCCGCCACATCCTCCATCACGGACCTGTAATCACTAACAGGGGAAGCAGGGATCGAGCTGGTGCGACAAACATTGAATCTCTCGAGAACACTCCTGATGTAACTCTCTTGAGACATCTCAATCGTACCAGCCTTGCGGTCGCGAACGAATGCGCAACCAAGAAAGAACTTGACCTCGCCCAAATTCTTCGTGGGGAGAGAGTCACCTAGCGCTTCCACAACCATCTTGGCAAGCCTCTCAATTTCTGCATACAGAATGTCATCTACATGAATCGGAATCATACCCAACACCTCGTCTCCCATAATGAAACGAAGAACGCAGGGGTCAGACAGAGACTGTTCGAAACCAATCCTCTTCAGGTCCGACACAAGTCTCTTGTGAAATGTTCTAGATGCCTGTCTCAGTCCATACAAACTCTTGTCTAAACGGACTACCTTTCCTGTCATCGACTCACAGCCAGGAGGCAACTTCATGAACACCTCGTGATCCAATTCCGACTGAACAAACGCTTGCTCAATGTCAAAGTGAAGAAATTCCAAATCATACTTGCACGCCAATGCTACCACTAAACGAATTGATGCAGCATTTGCAGTAGGCGAGAAAGTCTCAATATAATCCACACCATGCTTCTGCTTGAAGCCCTTCGCTACAAGCCTAGCCTTGGCCTTCACTATCTTACCTGTTTCATCTGCTTTCCATTTGTAGACCCATCTAGCATCTATCACGTTACAGCCTATTGGAGCCTTTACTGCTAACGCAAACGTTCCTGCTCTTAACAAGCCTTCAAATTCTACAGACATGGCTTCGTCCCAAATCGTGGAATACTTTGATTGACGGGCTTCTAGATAGCTACCCGGTTCTGACTCTACATCTTGAATTAGTACTTTCGGCAATCCCATTGCATCAGATGCTCTCTGTTCGACTAAGAGTGCCAATATTATTTCTGATGCGGAGATGGGTCCTAGAGTGGCCATGAGGCCGGGTACGCTCTGCTGATTTACTGCCCGAGTTTGCGCACGGGTTCTGCCTTCTCTGACTTCAACATTTTCATTAGCAGTGTTGTAACTAGCAAGCTCATGGCGCGCACGACGATTGGATGGTACGTGCGTAGCAGCGGGAAATGCCTCCGATTGTACCTCCTGCCCTCCCAGCTCAACCAACTCTTCATCCAAACCTTCCTGACTCTCCGACTCTACCTCCTGCCCTCCCGGACCCGCCGATTCTGTCTGCCCTGTCTCCGGCCCTCCCTGCCCTCCCTCATCGGAGAACTCGTCTGCTGGAGAAGACACAGGGGGAGCTGCGCTACTAGAGGAATTAATCGAGGGCGAAGATGGCAAAGAAGGGGGTTGACCTACACTGCCTGCATCAACACTGCCAACCTCATCGATTGTTCCACCAGAGATATCACGTCGCAAAATAATGTGGGGAACTCCTCTCCCTAAAAGCGGCCATACCTCAGCTTCTATATCGCCGTCTCGTTCCTCCCCTCCCTGCTCTGCAACCTCTATCGGCAAGAGAGACGGTTGCTGTGGAGGGAGCTGTGACGGCAACGCTTCCCATGTCACATTCCTCGTTTCCTGAATAGTTCCAGCCCTCGTAAGTACTCTTATGACAGTCACGCGGGTGGTCTCTCGAAGGACCGACATAAAAAAAAAGCAAGCTTCACCCTTCGGTAGCAGCTAAGACGGACGCTGCCACCTACAGTACGCCGGTTTCAAAAACGGATACGGTCTAGCATGACTAGCTTCACCATGCCACATCTCATACGGTGACTTACTGTCGGGGTTAGCGGAACAAGCTGTGTGGTTAATTGCTTCGCAAGCCCAATGCATCGCCTCAGCCCATAGTCTATCAGTCTTAGGTAATTGCACATGCCCAAACAAAACTTTTTCCTGAATACGAGCAGCCATTGCCGCCGCCTCAATCAATCCCAAACCACGCTCTACAACACCGTTGTATTGGGGACTGTAAGCCGGGGTGAACTCTTGCTTAATCAAGAGCTCGTTGCACACGGACGCAAATTCTCCTCCGAAAACCTCCCACCCATTGTCAGATCTAACAATCTCAACCAATGATGGGATACCATCAGCACACACACTTGCAAGGAAACTCCGGAAAGCACTCGCAGCGTCTGATTTACTTTTCAGGAAATACATCCATGTACGTCTTGTGAAATCATCCTTCACTATCACGGGGTAATGTTTACCCCCTACGGACGCAACGTCCTTCCGCCCTCCTAGGTCAACAAAAACTCTGCCCAACTTTTTGTCTGATCTGCATTTTGTTTCATGAGCAATCCCTTTCTTGAATGCCTTCGACATCGAACATCCTGTACAAGCATGCATTTTACCGGTCAACTCGATACCTAGTCGCTTTGCAGTTATACGAAGCAATCCCTCATGCGAATGAGCATAAATGTTATGAAACTCGTTCACATCCATCTTAGATTCATGCTTGGGGTTTGAAGGAGTGAGGGCAGCCAACACCGAACCAACAGAGTTATTTTCCAGACGATACGCAGTCGAAATGAGCATGCCATCGAAGCTCTGAAAAATAGTATGTCCGTCGAAAACAGCCATCACACCATCAGGACCACCAAGCAAGGTAATTCCATGACTCACCACCAATATCTGCGCTGGGAGAAAAGAGGTGATATCCCAAGTTGGGAGATTACAATGCATGCTCCAACTCTACAGAAACTCACGTCAGCAGTCACAAACACCAACTCCAAGGTTCCAGACAGTGCTCTGGCTCAAGGGTAGAAAGCGATTTTTCAACACTCGAAATGACTTGCTGGGGGAACATGCATGCCTAGCCATGGTATTGAGAGAGTACTTATTCAAACAGTCGAACAAAATCCACCTTGATATCTCAGTCTGGCACAGCACACCCATGTAGTATGTTGTATCCTTTCTCTACCCAGGGGGTCAGATCGAATTCAATGCTTGCAATCGAAATCTCTACATGTAGCTCAGAAACAAAAGCCTCATACAGATTATTGTTGTGGGCACTCAGTACAGACAATTGTGACCACGACGGACACGACACGTCCGCCCGGCAAAAACAGAAGCTTTGGGAACTTTGAAAGGACTCCTACCCAAGGTTTCTCCTGTGTTATTAATGCCGGCCCAGGAATATATGTGTTTCCACTGGCGACACGTCCCCACCACTCACTCGATGGAGTAGATGGGGGTGGAATGGAAGACTAGCTACCTAAAGCCCAACTAACCATTCCCGGAATGGAAGACTGACTACCTAAAGTCCCACTAACCATTCCCGAACCGAAAGACTGGCTACTACCCGAAGCCCCACTAACAGTTCCAATCGAACCAAAGCTTGCAGCACCAGCAGAGGGACGATTTACAGCAGATGCATGAGGGTTCAAGTCTGAGTCTAGAAGACTACTACTCCCAACTCTCACGCTGGACATGCCAAGGACTTGGGCACTTCTGCCCTTACCTCCCGCAGTCCTGCCAGTAGCATGTACAGGATGCCAACCGGCGTCGGTTCCGCCGCTGGCGCTGCCACCAGCAGAGGATCGACAAACAACAATTGCACGAAGGTTCAAGCCTGAGTCTGCAAGACTACTACTCCCAACCCACATGCTGGACATGCCAAAGCCTTGGACACTACTGCCCTTACCTCCCGCAGTCCTGCCAGTGACATCCGAATGATGCGCACCAGCGTACTCTGTTCCGCCGCTTCCCGGCGCAGCAGCAAATGAAACAGAGGACTCCACCTGATCACCTCGTTGCCCAACAAGCGACTTGATTGTGCTCGTGAGCTGGGACAACTGTGTCTCAGTCGAATCCAATCTCTCACCACCAATAACATCCTGCGAATCACCCGGAGGTAGGTCATCCACATGATCCCCAGCAGGCCCACTCATCACGAAGCAAGGTGATCAATCTTCCTCCGTTCAGTCTTGACGTACAGTCCAAGGTGACAAGCAGCAGTCGACTGGTTCGCTATAGCGTGTTGGTAAACTCGTGGCTTCTGGGGAAAATATGTTGTATTGATGAGACCTTGGGTCGAGAGACAGGGTAGCAGAGTGGAGTGAGCTGGGTGCGCGAGCACCGCAGCACCAGCAGCATCACGCTTGGGCATCTGCCCGATCACGCATATACACCGAACACGGACCAATACATGGAACGGACCAATGCACTTTCCTACGTATCACAAATCCTCGGGCTAATGTACTATCATCCACGAAGAACATTCCTACAGCCAAGGAGAAAGGACCAAGAGCATTCCACAATATTCTCATAATATGTGGCTACACAGCGACGCTGCAGCTTGACAGTCCCGAGATTCAAACTGCTCAATCAAATTGTGCTACGTTACTCTGTCGACACACACAGCAGCAACTATCACGAACAAGAAAGAGAGAGAGAGAGAGAGAGAGAGAGAGAGAGAGAGAGAGAGAGAGAGAGAGAGAGAGAGGGAGGGAGAGAAACAGAGAGAGACCGGCAGGAGAAAGAGGGAGAGGTAAAACGAGGGGCGACGGACATGGAGCAACGAAAGGGATAGGGAGGCTATTTTAAGATAGCAACAAAGCATGGACGAAGGGCCTCAATGCGAAAGCCTGATGAAAGCACCTGGGGACTATGATGCATATGGACAGTTGAAAGGTAGGTCCACATCCGATCCACAGACCACCAAGACATGATGCAGAGCTTGCTTGCGAGAATGAGAATTGTACAGACTGCTGTAGGCCTTTCGAGCAAAGAGCTCCGTTCGCCCATCACACGCAACGCTGTGTCCTCACGACGGGCCTTATCTGTTCTACTGAGGATGACCTACGCGCCAAGGCCATGCTGTTGGAACTTCCCATCGCAGCGCAGACGGTGGTAAAGAGCACCGACGAAAGGGGTCCGCACGTGGAGAAAGATTGACAGCTTTAGACAGAATACACCAATTTCCTGTCAAGCCTTTGATCAAAAGCAACACCGAGGAGGGAACACAAGCAATACTCAATTGGTGCTGCACCCAGGCCGCTTCAATTCTGCCAAAAAGGTACGTACAAATACCAGGTGATACCCCGATACGTGCGTGTTTATCCCATTCCGAGCGTATTTCTCCGCGAGCAGAGGTGTGGACGCATGACACACACTTACCGGTACCAAAACTGTAGCAGCTACCAGGTAGGGGTTTGTGAGGTGTGAGCGCTGATTCAAAGAGAGGATATTCATGTATATACAAAGAAGGGGCCTTACAGATGAACGAAAGCCTCGAGGCCCAGGAAGGCGTCGGCCTCCACGGATGTTATGCCGCAGTAGTAGAGGTTCCTGGAACGGCATCGAGGACGGCGAACAATGAAGTACATGAAAAACAGGTGCTGGCGTCAATTCAGGCATCCAATCGTATGCCCATGTTGCAAGGTTAATGTAGGCCCCCGCCACCTAAAAACCGACAGATTTCCCTTCAACGACAAGAAGGCGGGGACAAAAGACAAAGGAGGTGCTCCATGGTTAGCAAGCTACGCCTACACAGTCGACAAGACAACATTGCGCCACTTGCCCACAATCACAAAATTTGCGAAAACAATCGTGAAAAGCTTCGGAATCACCCAAATATGGACTCTGACGAGGCACCTACTGTAGGGTGCACGAAACACAAATTTGTCGGCACCAAGCACCCAAATACTTATTCGAGTCATCATGAGTCATTGACGGGGGGGGAAGTCAAATTCCAATATCAAGCATTAGGGCACCGAGGAGCCCTGTAGTTGCCCGGGTACGCCATGCGCGAGCTAGAGTCCCCCTCTTGCGAAGCCCCAAGCCATGATCACACGAAACGGGTGCGTAGCACATCAAGAGAGCACCCAATCCGCTCAAACTATTCGTGAAACGTCGTTCCTAGTAGCACACGACGTGTCCCCCTTACATGGCTTGGGTGAAGTGTGCTCTAAGCCCCAAAGTAGGCCACAAACCCATCGCTATTTACGACACCGTAGTATTTTCGACACGGCTCTCAGCTGTCGCGTAAGCCCTCGTTGGTCCCATAGTGACCGGTGGCTGTCGAGATATGGCCCAACATGATGTCACGGCACCACCTCGGCGGTGCCGTATTAATGCTTATTTTCTGACACACCGCGAAACTTTCCGAAAACACCTCCAACGGGCATGAAATCAATTGAACTGTGTTTCCATGGCCCCCAGCTGTCATACAAACCGTCATTTCGCCGAGTATGTGGTTCCCGAGATACGCCCAAGAATGTGGCCGCAGCACCACCTCGCCGGTGTCTTATGTACGACACCGCACGAGAAGTTCCGAAAACATCTCCAATAGGCACGAACCCATTTGCACTGTGTTCCCAAGGCCCCCCGCTGTCACACAAGCCGTCCTTCGGCCGAAAACAATTGTCGTAAATATGACTTATGCACGACACCGAGTAAAAAATTTCCGAGAACGAATTTTACGTGGCCAAAAACGAGGTTGCTGGGTTTCCACGGCCAACAGCTATCGCGCAAGCCGGTATTCGACCGAAGCCAACATGCGGTTGCCACTCTAACATGCTCCCTTTCTACAGCCTTACGACGGCCGAGAACGAAGGCACAGGTGGATGGGGGAAATACAGGGAGAACAATACGGAGAAGATATGGGATTACGAAAGGGATGCAGTGGGGTCGGCAAGATGGCCGGAGAAGGTGGACTGCAGACGGTGGGTGGTACATCTTCAAAAATGGCGGACACGGGTGGAATTCCTGCAGGAGATTGGCGTACGGGCCGCAAGGGGGTAGCCTCACTTGCCCACCACCCTCAGTCCACGGCAAAAGCGTGGAAAGCGGGGTGGAAAGTCAAATATCCTTCGCCGAGCGCGCCGGAGGGCATCAGCGACGGAAACGCCGCAGCGGAGGAACACCAGCAACAGCGTGGGGGTCGGGAACTGCTTCGGACGTTGCATAAGTTTCGGGGAAATGCGATTGGGCGGGAGCGCACGGTGGGTTGACCGATCATGATTTTCTCGCCTGTAGCAGTTGGTGTAGGCTATTTCTCCGAATACCGCCCAATCTGCTCCGAATTTTATGAAAGGAACGAATGAAATTGATCGGGTCCGTTTCCATGTAGCCCAAATATTTCACCAAAAATATACTACCTTACCTTGGATAATCGTGTTGGTTCGGCAGCATTTTCACATCCAGATAATCAAATGAATGTCGTGCCACTGAAGTACTAAAAGGCAGAGTTTTCACTCCAAACGCTCATCGGTTCCCTCGACGAGGAAGCCTCCTCGAAGCTGACAGTAAAACATGTTTCGGACAATGACACCCTGCGATGTTATGTCATTGATTCGATCAAACAAGGGAGATATGCATGTCGAAGTCGGAGGTCGGTGTGACATCGGGACTTCGGGCACAGCCTGCTGTCAGTATGAATGTCATGGAAAAGAAGGAGGGAGTGAAATTCTCACGTTCAGGGTTTCGACAGTGAAGCACCAATGTTTGAAGAAGTCGGGACTCGATTTCACATCCATCCCAACATGGACACCGAAAACCCTGCCTATGAATGTCGTCCAACAAAATGCACGAGTGAACTTCGTCCAGACTGTTTTTGGGCGGAGGACATTTGTTCAACGATTAGGTACAATATTCTTCGGGATTTCACATATTTTGACGAACTTCCCATGTCGTCTACCGGAAAAGCAGAGTATAGATTCAGGCGCATCTTGGTTCTCTCGACGACTAACCATTCTCTAACCTCACAGCGAATTGGAATTGGGCAAGACTTTCCGAAAAGATATTTCTGTCTTCGACCCGATCAAACAAGGGAGATATGCGTGTCGAAGTCGGGACTTGGTTTCACCCGGACCTCTGGCAGACAAACCCTGGCTATGAGTTTGATGGACAAGAATTAGGGAGAAAAACTTTCACACAGGGGGCTCCGACAGCGAAACATCAAAGTTGAGTAATTCGGGGCTCGGTTTCACACCCTAACCTGGGCCACCGGAATCCCTGCCTATGAATGTCGTCGAAGACAACGAATGAGCGAACTTCCTCAAGACCCTATATACATGCAGATTTATTTGTTCAACGGCATGGTACCAGTTTCAGTGGGATGCCATAGATTTTGACCATCTTCCACTCCCAATTCGACAACCCTGTCGTGCTACCGATAAGGCAGAGTTTGTTTCAGTTGCAAATTGGTTCTGTCGACGAGTAGCCCTTCTTGAAGCTGACAGTGAATATTTTATGGGGCAATGACATCCTACGAAGATATTCTGTCTTCGATTCGATCCAACTAAGGAGATGTGCTTATTGGAGTCGGACTTCGTTTCATCGAGGACGTCTGGCACCGATGACGTCTGGCACCGATAACCCGCGATATGAATGCCATGGATAAAATCGAAGGAATGAAATTCTCACGTAGGGGTCTCGAACGTGAAAGAGATATTCGCACGGAGTGCGGATCCGGTTTCACACTGCAACTTGGGACACTGAAGACCGCCTATGAAGTCATCGGCAAGAATGAACAAGTGAATTTCGTCAAGACCGTGTTTTCGTGGAGCTCCATTTCTTCAATGTCATGATACTGTTTTCTTTAGTATGTAGCATAATTTTGGCAACACGTTCATTCTGACATCGACCCCCGTGTCGTGCTACTGAAAACGTAGAGTTTTGTTTCAGATTCATATCGGGTCCCTCGACGAGGAAGTCTCCTTGAAGCTGACCTTGAAACATGTATTTGGCAACGACGCTCTGCGATATGATCCCTTTGTTTGGCTCAAACCAGGGAGATATGCATGTCGGACACGGAACTCCGTGTGGCATCGGGACTTCGGGCACAGCCAAGCCCCGCGTTGTGAATGTCATGGACAAGAAGGAGGGAGTGAATTATCACGGAGGATATTACGACAGTGAAACATCATGATTTCAAGAAGTCGGGGCTCGGTTTCACACCCCAACCTGGGACACCGAAAGCCCTGCCTATGATTGTCGTCGAAGAAGATGCATGAGTGGATTTGATCAAGCCTATGTTGCCGTGGAGCTGTGATTCTTGAACGATATGGTACCGTTGCCTTTGAGATGTCACAGATTTTGACGAACGTTCGCTCCCAATTCGACCAACCTGCCGTCCTACCGAGAAAGTAGGGTCTTGTTTCGGATGCATATGGGTTCGCTCGAGGAATAACACTTCTCAAAGCTAACAGTGTAATGGTTTTTGGGCAATGACATCCTGCGATGACATGTCTCCTATTCGATCAACCGAGGGAGTTTTGCGTGTAGGAGTCGGGACTCGGTTTCACACCATGACCTCTGGCACAGATAACCCTCGATATGAATGCCATGGACAAGAATGAAGGAGTGAAATATCAAGTAAGGTTTTGACAGTGAACTACAGTAGCATGTTCGGAACTTGGAACACCCAAAGCTGGCTAGGAATGTCGTCGGCAAGAATGAATGATTGAATTTCGTCAAGACAGCGTTTCCATGGAGCAAGATTTCTTCTACGGCATCGTAAAATATCCGTTGGGATGTCACAGAACGTTTTCAAGAAGTTCATCCCGACATCCGTGTCGTGCTACTGAAAACGTAGAGTTCAGTTTCACATGCACATCGGTTCCCTCGTCGAGGTCCCTCCTCGAAACTGACCGTGAAACATGTATTCGGAAACGACGCCCTGGGACATGATGCCTCCGATTCGCTCAAACCAGGGAGATATGCGTGTCGGAGTCAGAAATCGGTTTCACACCGGGACGTGGGACACCGGACGTCTTGGCTTTGTACCGACTCGTACGATGTGGTTATCGGTTCAAAAGGTTGGATGCAAACGGTTCTTGCTGGTCTCGGCGACGCAGACGGAGCACATGCCAGAACGATGCCGGTACCCCAACAACCACCAAACCGGGTGGGGAAAAAGGTGGCCAGGTGCAAGAATCCGGGGGGGGTACAGTGGATGGCAGTGATACTGTCACCAACGAGGGTGGGATCGACGGCAGTCTGCCGCAGAAGAGCGTGGAGAGGGGAGGGGAAGCGGGAATGGCACCATCAAGGGGCATAACGACGACAGTGATGACTATTCGGAAAAAATTAGGAGTAACAGCGACGACCAGGAGGATGCCGACAGTGATGCCTACATAGGCAAGGGTAGGCGTGGCGGCGATGAGCAGGAGGATGGCAGCAGCGATGCCTACTCGGGCAAGGATCGGAGGAGCGGCGATGACGATCATAACTGGGGCCCTACGTTCGACGATGGCCATGACAACGAGGCGGTGCACCCCGAAGAACAAGGAGAAGAAGCGGCACAACACCGGGAGGCATTCGATCAGCGCCGAGTCTTCGCCACGATGATGGCGAACAGCAAGGAGGACGTGGGGCGAAGTCTTGCGGTCAGTTTCGCCTGACTAAGCCCTGGATATGCATAGGTTGCGGGTTAGAGAAAATACAGAAAATATCACCGAGCACGCCAACACCCGCCATCCCGTCGTCACATACGAAAACCAAGACTAGCTTTCCAGGGGCCCCGCGCGCCCTGCCTACGTCACAAGATGTTATGATGGCATATGCCTCTCAGCTTTTGCGTACCATACCCCGTGGCTGATAGAGAGGGATTGTGGGGTCCAGACACAAATGTAATTCAGCCGGGATATACCATCGACAACGTCTGGACTTGAGTTCCGGACAAACTAACACCCGAGCGCCTTTGGGAAAAAACCGCCTGCAACTCGGGGTCGAGGAAGAATACCGTGCATCACAATAGAATGTTTCCAAGGGTGCTTGATTTAGGATACCCACAGAGGTGTACCGGGTGTATTTGTCCGGGTGTCGCTCGTACAGAATGTTACAGACGACATCTGTGACACTTCCAATACCCTAAAAAATACGTCCGCTGAGTTCTAAAACACTTTCAGTACCCGAAAACGTACAGACCTCACAGGCCTAGATAAACTTCCAAATACAAATCCGTCCGGGTAAGGGGGCTCACACATGAGTTGACCCGAGGGGTCACGCAGTCCTAGGGTTCAAGCAGGATTTGATCGCACCTGCCGCGGAGTATAGCATGTGAAACAATGGAGCTAGACGGTGAAGAGAGCGGTATTTGAGATTTCCAAGTTTTCGCGGAAAGCCTTGTCCGCACAATACACTTAGGAAAACAAACCCACGGCGTGCCTCATGTCTTGCTTCATTGCACACAACAAGCCACAACATGCCACAACAAGTCATCGAAAACAACAAAAAATCACGTGACGACAGGATTCAACCGGCGTCTTTCCGCTCGATGAGGTACAGGCTAGGCTATAAGGAGTCGTGCGCCCTTCAGCGTCGCGGAAGAGGCGATACAATGACGACCTCCCAAAGGGAGGGGCATACATCGCTACGGCGACAACACCGCCTGGATCTTTTTACCTGCATCAACGTGCAGATTGTCGGCGGGCGGGATAAGGGTAAGAGATCTGCATCAGAATCAAAATCGACCAAGTCCTCCCTCAATTGCTGTCTTTGTTTTCGGTTAACTGCCTTCGTGGGAATTCTCACCGGCGCCTCGGACGAATGAAAGACCCAGCGCTCCGTAGAAGAGGCGCATGCTGACGTAACGGCGTGCGGGGAACGTCGAGTGTCCAGGCAACCAAGAGTCGAGCTGAGGGGAGGAGAAGAATGGAAAATATCGAGAAGGTGATAGATCCGTCAGATGCATACAATTTTCCCCCGAACGGGTTCCCTCCGCCATCGCTGGTATTCGCGACAATAGGGCATGTAACACAATGAGCTCCTCTTCCTCGCCAAACCTGAATGCACCGTCGGTGAACTGACCCCATAGGCGAAATTTTCTGTCGTGGCGACGTTTCTCCGGTCTTGCAACACATCTACTACAGGGGTTGTCTCCATTTTGGCCTCAAACTAGCTTGACTGGCGGTATTGACGGTATATTTGAGCACCAAGCAATATCTCGCTACAGGGGAGTGAATTTCTACCCACGAAAGCGAGTCAGCGACCATGAGACGACGCGTCTCTATGCCGCTCCAGAGAGACACGTCCCGCTGCAACAGGGTTCAGCTGACTCACGACTTCGGGCAACAGCAGACCCATCTTGTTGTGGGTCTGGGCAAGTGGATACGCTGACCACCACAGAATGCCTGATATCCTGTGTACCGCGATGGTTTCGGCCGTGACCCATAATAGCTTGCACTCTAGTGTCTAATGTTTCCACTATAACAGTACCGAAATACCCACATTCACGCTTTATTAGTCCTCCTTTTGTTTTCGATTTCACATTTGGTTATGGCAAGTTTGCCCGTGGGCAAACCCAGACTCCCGCATGGTATCGCTAGAAACAACAGTCGTGCGCTAGTCATACCCTAGCCCATTGAGCTCAAAACCGTGTGTGAACGTTGCCGTAGCAAGGGAGCAGCGCACCGCTAGACAGAGAGAGGCGAGAGCAATACTATGTACAACAGACGAAACAAAGCAGCGCACGGCCAGACAAAGAGGGGCACCAGCAATACTACAGCAGACGAAACGTGTCGAAGTAACGCGCGGCCAGAGGGAAACGGCAGACAAAGCGGCGATAAGGACGGTGAATGGGTTCGTGTATACGTCCAAGACTAAACATCGAAAATGACCTCTCATCTACAGGATCTTTAGTCGTTGTTGTTGGTTGTGTTGTTGTGTTCGCATTAAGACCGCTCCGATCTCTCCATCCAGTACCTCCCTCTGTCAAAACTTGTATAACACTCAGTTGGGTTAGAGTGTTTTTTTGTTGACCTAGGAACATATCAGTAGAAGGCAGTGTTCAGAGCCGGGCGAAGTTAGTGATACTCTCAGGCCTTCTCCTTGGGCATTGATACCAAAGGCTGTCGCCGGGCGTTAAAAGTTTAGAAAAATCTGGACCCAAACCAGCCTATCACAATCAACTGCGGTAATGGCCGCTGCGTAGCCAAAACATCCTGAAGCGGGGGTCGTCCAAGATTTGAGCTACGGTTTGTAGAGCTGGAAATCGGGAGGTTGGGATTGTGACGGTGAGTACGTACAGCAGGGGAAGGTGACAGGCGTGGAAACCAGATGCGCCGCACACGTGTTGTGTTGGGACTGCGAGCGCAGCGCCCGAAAGCCCAGCCCCATTTCAAGATGTCACATGCAAGCAGCTCCTGCATGGTGTCATCCACATGTCGGGATTTCCAACGGTTACAGGTCGATCACGGGTTTTCAGGTGGACATGGGCAGGGCGATAGTACCATTCAGCGGTAACTGTTTCTGCCGAAGGGGGTGTTTCGTTTTTCGGCGGTAAGGACTTTGGCGGAGGCGGTATAACGAAACCAGGGGTAAGGCGGCGGTTTTCCAATACGCCCACCAGGGCGGTATCTTCACGGTGGAAAAAAAGCCAACATTACCCATGGAACTTTGGAGGTAGGGTGTGCAGGCCCGTTTTAAGAACTCCCCGTATGCTGTTCAGTCTTGAAGTTAGACTGTCCACGCGAAGGAGTGCGGATACTACGGTGATGGAGACAAAACCCAACCGCTACTCTGTGCGACAACCAACGGATTTTCTCATGCCCAAGGCTGCCCCACTGGACCGCCTTTGCGAGGATGCACAGCGTTGTACGTGAAAGAGATTAGGGGGCGTCGGAACCCGAACCCTTGCACTACCCCCAACCAAACCCGTCACCTCTACTATATAGTTTACTACCCTCGCTAAGGCTACTGGCCCCACTGGTCCAGGGAATCTCGTAATTGACTGCTGCGTGCCCGCTCTGCCGATCTCAAAATCAATCTTGGTTACGCGCCCCCTCAACCATGTATCGTTTCAAAAGGCTCGTTGGCTCTCGTGCTTTCCGGTCACGCGCGGCATAGCAAGGAGTCTCCCGCACCAATGGGCACAAGCTTGAAACTATGGCCCGATAGTTGGGTGGGACGTCGAGGCACAGCGCCGCATGTTGGTGTTGCGCACCAGTACGCTTGCGACGGCGCAACGTTTCTGCTCATCGGCAGGAGTACCAAGTGAGGTGGTGTGCGGAATAGGTCGATGGAAAGGAGGGAATTGGAAACACTGCCATACCAGCAGTGCTGAGCTTACAGCAGCGGTGGCAGCAACGACCGCACAACAACGACTTAACTACAACGACGACGACGACGACAACAACAACAACAACAACAACGACAACGACAACAACAACAACAACAACAACAACAACAACAACAACAACAACAACAACAACAACAACAACAACAACAACAACAACAACAACAACAACAGCAATGTGACCGCAAGGCATGCTTTATGATTTGGAATGCTTGGTGCATGCTCCAAGGGGCGCCAATGAAGTTGTAGAATACCACGCCCCGGGCAAAGGTCAACGTCTCTGGGCTTCGACACCCGCATTCTACGGAGAGTATGGGGGGTTCTTCCGGCAAGGGACTATCCGAAGGGGCAAACACTGTTCTGTCCTATATCAGAGGATGAAGCTACTGCGAGCTGCTGTAGCGGCAATCCTTACCTACCCAAATCTGAGGTGATAAATTGTTTTCGGCCGTTGGAGGTGGTGCGTTTTTCCGCGGTAACGACATTGATTGGCGTTTTTCGAAGGAAGCATTCTGAGCGGAGGTGGAAAAAACTAAAATACGGCAGTGGGTGTTCGGCGGTAACGTCATAAAGCGGCAATTTTGGCGGTAGGCGGTAATTTTAATTATTTAACAAATTTGGATAAGGTGGTAATACGGAAAAACGGCGGAATGTCGCTAACGGTCAAAAGGCGCTTCTTCACGAGAAAACTGCGTTCGATGTTGTATGCATAGTCCACTTGACAGAGAACGGCAGCGGTAGTCGCGTTTGTACATAGTCCGACACTCCACCAAGCAAATAAGAAGGAGCTTGGGGTTTCTCATTCTCCGTTCATTCTTCCGGGATGAGCTCTACGGCTTGGGGTTGCCACAGCTCACCATCATTTCCGGGTGGAGGTATGCATCCACAGGGTTTAAGCCTTGCACCCACACCTTTTTACCGACGGAAACCCTCTGTGGGGAACGAGCGTCACGAGCATGTATGCGTTTCTGCCACCTGCCGCTCTTCTGCAGGCAGGCGCAGTGTGCTGTCCCTTCAACCAGCAACTACTGTACACCGGCTGAAATCCCAAACGCTAACCTAACAATAACCCCAAACCCACCCGGTAGGTGCTAGGTTGGCGCTGAGTGGCTCGATTCTATGTAGGCTGGTGTGCCGGCATTGGCGCTAGCTTGGAAGTGATGGAATCATCTCTAGGTTGGTATTGCTTGGATAGGTGCTACGTTGGTGTTGACGTGGGTACGTGCTAGGTTTTGTAGGCCTAGGTCGCTCTTGGTTGGGTGGTCCCGTCGGTAAAAGGTGTGGGTGCATGGCTTATGTGCGTCCCCAGGGGTGCATCCAATTGTCGGAGGTAGGAAAGCAGCATTGATGGAGGTTGATGTGTTTTGAACGATGTTGACCGGCTCTTTACCGCGCCGTGCAGCATTTCACCGACCCCGAGATGAGCTTCTCGCGTGATGTTTGGGTGTGACGTGCTCTTCCCGACGTTCGCGTTTGGTGGTTGATGAGTTTTGAACGATGTCGCATTTTTCCCCCATGCATCCTCACGTCAACTACAGTATGTCCAAAAAACTATCCAAAGGGAACGGAAGGCATCAGTTGCACCAGTACGGACATTAGAAGGCACTGAGCGGAGACCGGAACGGATATAAAATGTGAAGACAACAACAAAAATAACAACATGGATCCTGTGTGGCCACGCGGATGACCGCAGAGACCGCGGACTCAAAGCGACAGCAGGATTCTGCGGACCTAGCTGGTTGCCAAGCAACTGTTAATCGACTAAGACAGAAAGTGAGAGGGAGAGAGCAACAATAGAGAGAGAACGAGAATTTGAGAGAGAGAGAGAACGAGACTGATTTTCGTGATTGCGGAGCATTGATGCGAACGACTGACTTGCGCACGCGGATAACTGCTGATCGATGCGCGCAAACGAAAAGGGAGTGTGCGAGGTGCAGGCGAAAGTAATGCAGCGCTAACGGGAGCACTGGGCGTAAAGCTCCGAAAGCACTCGGTGCAGAGGGGCCGAAGACAGCGGCAAAGGCCACAGCGAGCGATTGTGCGATACTTGAAGTGACAAACAGCGACAGCAAACAACGGCAGAGCGGACCCCGAAATGCTGCCCTGTGGTGCGCCGAGAGAGGAGCGAATTTCCTGCGATCCTGGAAAAATGATAAAACGAATGAATTCTACAAGGCTGTTGGGCGGCTTGCGCCGCCACGCTGAGAGAAGCGTTCCGCAAGACGCTTGCTATCGTCGTTCGTTGTTATTGGATGGCCGTCTCTTGTTGGTGTACTTGTCGTTGCGCTTACTTACGTACGTGCTGTAGTCCGTTGCGACACCGAAGGGGTGCGAACCGATGCGTCCCGCGCGGAGTCCACAAATATATTGGACACGCCGCACTGAGGGCGAGCGCACAGGCGGAGAGCGAAAAAGATGCAAAAAGCCCGAAGAAACCAAATAAACGAACGGCCGTATGCATAGGTTCGGAGATGAGGGGCTCACTGACTGAATCAGAAGGAAACCTCACGGAGTCCTCAATGAAGAGAAAAAATACCCTCGCACTGCATCGCACGGAGTAGTACTACAGTACATGAAGCATCTTAATGACTTGCATCCGCTCCCTCCTGGAGTGCTCAGCAAGCAGCAACCGCTTTCTCTCTCGCCTGGACCGCATTTTGGAACATGCGAAAGTCCGACGTGCTGAAGGGAGCAAGCAGACTACTGGCGTGTTAGCGCGGAAAGAAAGAGAGACTGGACTACAGTAAAGCCCTGTGAGAGGCCCAGTTAAAAAAGATGCATGTATGTGTGATGGGGTGGTGGGGAGCAGAGGAAAGCGCCAAAAGTCTCCTCGAGCGAGCGAGAAAGAGCGGGAAAACGGGAGGGGTCAACAGAGCGGAACCGAAAACGGGAATTAACAAAATGCTGCTGAGGGACATGTGAGAGGGAGCGCCAGCCTGCTGTTATTTGTAAGAGCCGACGGCAGATTGGTATATGAGAGAGGAGAGAGAGACTGGCACGAAACAATGTGACGTGTGTGAACGGGCGAAAGGTTCCGTGCGATCGAGCCGGATGTGATGAGCGACTCAGACGCAAAATGAGAAGACATGAGAGAGAGAAACGGTGAACGGAAAACGACAGCGAGCTCCAACGATCTGAAACAGATGGAAATGAGAACATGGAGCCCTGTGAGAGGCCGAGAAGACTTGACATGGAGCCCTCTCGGCGTAGATTCAGACAGTCAGAGAGGGAAGCGACAGAGCGTCAGACCTCGTGCCTCGTGTGATCGGAGAGCCGCAAATAAATGTGTGCAGGGGAGAACAGAGCGACAGACTTCGTGTGATCGGAAAGCCGGAACGACCGGGCCATCTAGTCAAAGAGATCGGAATATATTGATTGCCTGTGTTTGCTCGGAAGAACCTTTGCTCGGAAATATTGGATGGACTCAAACTGAAAAAGAATGCACACAACAGAGTTTACAGGCAGCCACGCATGTGTTGGAACACGCATGTATTGAGAAAGCACTGCGCTGCTCTTATTGTTCTGTTGGAAAGAACATCGTCAACGGCCGAGAATCCGGAATGAATGCTGTCCGGAGGGCATCCCGCCGGAAGTGGAAGGTTGTGTTGTACAACCCGGTGTTTTGTCAGAACGATTAGGAGATAGCCTGGCATAGGCAGGTATAACGGAAAAGAAAACAGAAAAAGGAAAAGAGATGCACCTTCCTTACAACAGAAGAAACATCTGAACGCAAAGGAGCAAGACAACAAGCAACCTAGAGGAGGAGTAGAAGAGAGACAGAGGAGGAAGAAGAAGGAAGCGAGAGTACGGAGGGGAGGAGGCAGACAGAAAACGAGAGCAAGAGCATCGTCGGTTCATTTTGCAGAAGAGCAACGTCGGCCGACCCGACGCCTGAGCGCGGGGTCCAATGCCGAATATGGTAACGCTTGGGACGTTGATACCGATGTGGCGCCAAGACGAGGAGGAAGAAGAGCAAGGCGGATGGCAGGGCCAAGGAGAGGGAGAAGACCGGGGCTCGCCGCCGAGAGGCGGAGTTGAGAGTAGGAGGGCGTTGAGCCAGGGTGAGTGAAGGGTGAGCAGTGTAGAGGGCACGTGGACTTCGAGGATTGAGTCACGTCTATCACCGTCCGAGCACTCACGGGGGAGAGCGCGCCACGCAAGGTCTAGGCAGACGTGTTCAAGTTCCCCAATGGTAGCTAGCCACGATCAGTCTTCGTACGTCAGCCGCTGAGGTCCATCACGCACGCAGCATTTCTCAACCTCACACGACCACGACAACGATTCCTGCGCGCACGGCGGGAAGTGGTATGGTAGGAAGGAGGGGGGGTGGGGGGGGGGTGTACTCATAGTCGAGCATGCCGTAGTCGTTAGACCATTGACCTCGCATCCCTACAAAGCCGGGACGGAGCACGCCGGGTTCTCACCGACCAGGCTCTCACATCACCAAGCGCGAAGCGCCGTGAGGTATTTGGCGAGACGCATGAAGGGTGAGCTGCATCCTGCTAAGGGTGTTCGGCATCTTGTGCTTACTTCCTTGCGTACGGATGACAGCTACGTATGACTTAATTTATTTTCTGGTGCTTTCACTTCCAGAGACAGTTGTAAGCACTGTGTAACTGCCTCGAGGAAGCTTGACCATTTTAACACAACGTGGTGCGATCATCCCCCGTTGCGCGGAGTGAGGGTTCTCGACCCCGCACAAGATGATCTACTCGACCAACATTATGGTTACCGCCAAAAAAAAAACCGAGGTAAAAAAAAACCCGGTAACCTGGTTGCCGAGTTCACGAAATGAATTGGCTTGTTTTACAACGTCGTTGCCAAGCGACGAAAACCCAATCCCGATGGCAAACACCGAGGGGGGGGCTTGTTTTACAACGTCTTTGCCAAGCGACGAAAACCCAAACCCCGATGGCAAACAAGGCCGAGGGGGGGGGGGGTGAACACGTGTCGGGCGCCGGGACAGGCGCGGACGGGCCAGCGTACAACGGGTCACAAGGGGAAGAGATGGGGGCAGCGGGAGGAGGGCAAAGTAAACCAGGTGGGGAGGTCCGGCAGCTGCAGCAGCTGCAGCAGCAGCAGCAGCAGCAGCAGCAGCAGCAGTACCAGCAGCAGCAGCAGCACCAGCAAAGACCTCTCTGCCAGCAACAACAGCAGCGGTGGCAGCAGCAGCAACAGGAGACGCCTTCGCCCTCTCCGCCGCGGCAGCAGGCGCAAGGGGCCATGAATCCGGAAGGCGTCGGCGGTGCGGTGGATGTGCCGGCGGCCGGCGGGCCGGGGGGATGGGGGTCAACGGCCAACAAGGGGGTGGGGGGGTGGAGTGCCCCCGCAGCAACCGAAACAGGGGCCGGTAGCTACTGGGGAGGCGTCGGCGGCGGGCGGGGGCCGGCCCCCGCTGGCGAGGTGGAGCAGTTGTTGGCCAAACTCATGCATCGAGAGTTTCGCGACATTATCCGCGTGCAGCAGCAGCAACAGCAACAGTACACGCAGTACATGGTGCAGCAGAATCAGCAATTGCAGCAGCAGCAGCAGCAGCAGCAGCAGCGGCCGGCGCCACCGGTGGGCACACACACCACAACAACAACAACGACAATTATACAAACAACGCATGCAACACCGACTCATCTACCAACCCCAATACCAACAACGGCAACAACAGCGCAACCAACAACAACCTATCCTCCACCACCACCAACAACAACGACTTCAAACAAGAGCACAGCAACGGCAACTACAACATAACTAACACCGAAGAAGTACCGGGAGGGGGGAAGGGCGGTGGCCATCTCGACCTTTATCAGTGGGGATGGGAAAGGGTTGCCGTTCGGGACAGCCAAGGACGTGCAGGTGCTGGCCCGGGAATTCAGGATGGATGGGGAAGGAGCTGCGCAGATCACGGCAATGGCCGGGCTGGAGGTGCAACGGTCCGCGACGAAAACCTATGGGGGGGGGCGGGGGGGGGGGGGGGGGGTTATGGAACTAAAAATGGGGTTGGGCCCCCCCGGGGGGGCCCCCTTTTAATTTGTCGAGAACCTGGGGGCATATTTCGGAGGCCCCCCCCACCCCCAACCCCTTTTTTATTTTTTTGGGGTCCCGGGGCACCTTTTCCGGATGGCGAAAAAAGGGGGGGGCTTTTTTCCTGCGAGGGGGTTTTTTTCCCGGGGGGGGGGTTTTCCCGAGTTATTTTTGGGGGGCTTTAAA